TTTTATTTTGTTCCTGACTCATCAGCTTTTGAGTCCAGTTCTCGAACCCTATTGGAGATTCTGAGGCAAATCCAATATTAATTAACTTATTCCTTTTCTACTTAATTCAGCCATAGTCAGTATCTTTTGCTCACCAATAAGAACTCTGATTTATAAACAATCTAATTCCAGCATTAGGCAAATTCAACAAAAAAGGGAGCTCACAGATTCATTATCTGAGGTGATTGTAAGAAACCTAACAGTGCCTCTCAGAGGTATTCTAGAAACACTGGGCACAACATTCTTTCTTCCTTGAGTTCTTACCTGAATTAAACTGCATCTGTTTTTGCTTTAGGGTGGAACTGGAGTTCAATGAAAGCAGAGAATAGAGGAGCTTTGTAACATCTGAATCTGCTCTGTACACACTTCGCATTTCAGAGCACATGCTATCAGCAGGATAATGCTGCCAGAAGCTGGCAGTGCCTCTCTCTCCTCAGACTCACTGGGTTTGAAATCAACATGTGTATATTGAAAGCAAAGGTTGAGCTCGAGTCTGATTGGCTAAGTAAGAAACCTGAGACTCTCTGGGATCCAGAGGGACTAGATAAATATATCTTGTAAAGAGAGCTAATTTTAGACTCAGGAATCTGGCTCGATTTCAGGCCCCAGAGCTCAGTCTTCTGTGATCCCAATAAGGAAGAAGAATGGAGAAACTCCTGGGAGTGTCTTTGGTGATCCTATGGCTTCAACTGGCCAATGAGTTGAGGCTCTTGGTGATGGGAACAGGGTGACCGAAGTTCAGAGCCCACAAGACTGAGGGACAAAGTCTCCTTGTTAACTTGGAAATGTACCAGAACATTATGGAAGGAAATGTAAACACTAGAGAGTGGAAATGCAATGACTGACACCTCATCTCTGACCTGTGTTTCTGTCTAGGGGTGAACAGCCAACAAGGAGAACAGAATCTTCAGGCCCTGAGCATCTCAGGGTGCTCAGAGGGTGAAAATGCCACCATGAACTGCAGTTATGAAACTAGTATGAACAGTTTACAGTGGTATAGACAAGATGCAGGTAGAGGACTTGCATGACTGATTTTAATACGTTGAAATGAAAGAGAGAAACCTGGTGGAAGACTACGAGTCACGCTTGACACCTCCAGCAAAAGCAGCTCCCTGTCCATCACGGCTTCCCAGGCTGCAGACTCTGATGCTTACTTCTGTGCTGTGGAGGCACAGCATTGACCAGGCACCTGCAGCCCCTACACAAACTCTGCCAGAGCTGCCTCTTAGGAGTCCCCACAGTGGGTAGAGGTGGTGGTTACATCTTCCCATGAAAGAGAGTCTACAAAGAGCTGGCACCATGAAAGGGAGGCCCTCTCAAATTGTGATTTTTTTGGAAGCACCTTGGACTAAGGTAAAAGGCATGAGATTCAGAATGGGAAACTGAAATGCCAGATTCACTTCTGCCAATCCTGGCTACATGACCTTAGGCACATCATCAGCGTAGCAGCTTTCGATTCCCTCACTTAAAATAAAGGAATTGGACCGATGAGCCCTAAAGACCTTCAAGCAAAGAAGAAAAAAGTAAACTCTGGACACTTGTGGAGAATGAAGAAGTACTTCTCAGTATTAGAGGTCTTGTCTGTCATGCGTGCAGTGCCCTCAAGACTTTAGTGGGTCCTCGAGATGCATGAGCTGACCCTTTCCTCTAATTCCTGTATAGGAAACAGTAGATTCATCAGGGCTTAGAGTTAGAAAAGATCTTAGGACTCTTTCAACCAAACTTTTCATTTTAAAGCTGAGGAGTGGATACGTTGTGTGTTGATGGGGACAAGGATCTGAATCTTAGGAGTGGGGGAGACAAATCTGATTCTGCCGTTTACTAGTTGTGTAATTTTCGAGACTCAATTTCTCCGTTAGTAAAGTGGGAACTTATAAGAACGTCATAATTTTTCCCCATCCCAGTAAGACATGTATGTTCTCCACTGCTAGGTCCTGAAGTATTGTTTTGTGAAAGTAGGTAATTTTATTATCAAAGGCATAATAATTTTCCATCCATTTATTCTTGCTCCTAGCAAGAAATATAAAGGCTGAATATAGTTTTTTAATGCAGTTTTGATACTACTGAAAATGTGTGTATGAAGAAAATGAGGGCATTTGTGTTTATCTGCGTGTTTGGTGAAAAAGATGGGGGAGGTAAGGGAGATGTTGTATATGGCCCTGTTTCCCAAATGCCAGACCTTCAACCAGCACCATCACCTGTATCAGAATTACCTAGAGCACCTTTGGAGATCTGATTACCAGGCTCTACCCCAGCTTATTCAATCAGTTTCTGATGAAATGATGAATTTGTGTTTTTAATGAACATCATCTCTATCAGTTAGAGATTGACTCAGCTTAAAGTTATAAAACTCAAGTAGTAGTATTTTTAACAGGGTAGGGTTTATTTTAATGTACATAAAAATGCTCTATCATATGTGACACTGTAATGCTAGCTTCACCATGTTGCATCTTTACAGTTCACTGTTGCTCATGCTTAAGATGTCACCCGTTTTTATACTTTTAAGAAACTGTTAGAGATCCGTCCACTTTATACGCCTTCTTGGCAGAAAGAAAGAGAAAGTCGAAAGGCAAGCAGGTCCATGCTGGCTGAGTCAGCATTTCCAGAAACTCCACCCAACAGCTTCTACTTAAGGTATTTTTTTTTTGATTCATAGTTACTAATTTTTGAAATGCCATATCCAATCTATCTCCCAGTCCTATTGAATTTGCCTCCTAAAAGTCTTCCAGAAGACATCACAACCCTCACAGTGCAATTCACCCCCACAATCGTAGTCAAAAGTCCACCTTAACCCCTTGCTCCCCTGCTCCCAGCACATTCGACACATCCCATCACTCCTCAATGTAGTGAGAGCGGTCTTGTCAGAGTGCAAATTTGAGCATGTCAATCACCTGGATCCCGATTTGTTCTTAGAATAAAGAAAAATTTCCTATTATAACCCAGAAAACCTTGTATAATTTAGGATCTTGCTACCTTTCCAAGTTCATTCTGTAATATGCTCCTAATCTCTTGCTCTCTCTCTTTCTCTTTGTCTTCAATAATTCTCATATTTTTTTTCTACTTCTTCTCCCCAAAGCCCCCCAGTACATAGTTTTGGGTCCTTCTAGTTGTGGTGTGGGGGACTCTGCCTCAGCGTGGCCTGACGAGTGGTGCCATGTCCAAGCCCAGGATCTGAACCAGCGAAACCCTGGGCCGCAGAAGCTGAGTGTGCAAACTTCACCACTCGGCCACGGGGCCTGCCCCATGATATTTGTTTCTTAAAAGCATCTTGTTCCTCCTTCATAGCCATTTTAGGAGATTTTCTTATTCTTTTTCCTTTTCCTAAAATTCTTTTTCCTCCCTTCAAAAGAAAAGAAACTAGTAAATGCCTGCTTATTCTTTTATATCTGCCCAAGTCAGTAGCTGAAGGAAGCTCAACGTGCACTTTTAGAATCATAGAGCTCTGCCTTTTCACACTTGCAGCTTTTCTTTTATTTCTTTGAGCATTTGATGAAAAGCTATTTCTACCACTACTCTGGGCTCCTTAATGACAGGGACCACCCTCGAATCCTCAGCACCAAAGTATCTTAGGCATTAAGATTATCAAATCTCCTTCTTTCTCCTTACTATCCATTAACTTATTTAATATATTTCCTTTGTTTTAAGCCCCTTAAAGAACTATGATAATATTGTAGTGAAAGAACAAACAAGAAAATGTGGCTGAGTTTCTACGATTGCAGTTCATGGACCTTTGGAGGTTTATGGGTAAATTTTGGGGGTAAAGCAGAGGTTGGCAAACTACAGTCCACATGTCAAAGCTGCCTACTACCTGTTTTTGTAAAGAAAGTTTTATTGGAAAACAGCCATGGTCATTTATTTACGCATTAACTATGGCTGCCTTATGTTATAGCAGCAGAGTGGAGTAGTTGCAAGAGAGACTTCAAAGCCTAAAATATTTACTATTTGGCCCATTGCAGAAAAATGTTTGCCAACTCATGGAGTATAGTAATTAAATGAGAATTCTTAGATTTGGAGTTTTCTGTTTGATGGCAACAAAATAAAATAATAAAGACATGTTTCTAATTATCTGCAGACCAACTTAAAATAGTCTGCTTAATTTTGATGCTTTTGTGTTCTTTATGTTATTTTTACCAAATTAAAGACAAATGAAACAATGGTACTCTACAAATAAAGATATCACAGTTGTTTAAATAGAGAAAAGTGTTCAGAAAATTTGGTTATGATATGGTACGTTGTACTACAGACAGGTCAAACCTAAAGAACCTAAATTCCCACAGTTACCGCCATGTTTCCATTGACAGGAGATGTATTACTCACATTCATTGTTTGAATGTATCAACTTGCAATTCAGTAGATGTAAGGGTAGCAGTCAATGCACAATATATATTTTTTTCAGAGTTGATTTTTTGGGTGCTTCATTAAATAATACAGTTGTATAATGGTGACTTAAATGGTATTTTTGGAAAGGAAAACTAAAAATGCTAGAAACTAATCACAATAATTCAGACAATAGTACATTAAGCTCCAAATTATTTCAATCAAGTGAGTTATTGGACTGCACACAGCTATAGCTTTCTTCTAATAAGCTTATACCAACTCTTTAGACTTCAGCAAAAGATAATCTCTCACATTAATATTTTAATTTGAATTTTACTGATTGTATATTTTGTATTTTTTGTTTGATTTGGTAATTATGTAAGACCTGTGAGCCTAAGAAGTTTATCCTTAACTTCATTTTTGTGTCTATTAAGGCACCATAATATTTTTTAAGCAGTCAGTATTAGAGTGTTCCCTTATATTACGATCTGTACCTTACTCAATTTTGAGAAACACTGAATGCGCCTGTTATCCAGGTCCTGGATCTGGCTCTAGAAGAAGCTGGTCACACCAGGGGTCTAGACATGTGCTCTCATAGAGACTACACTTCATAAAAGATAATTGTACCCACCAGACATGTCTACTCATTCATTTATTGACTCATTTTTCAGATTTTTTTGAGCATCTACTATAATCTAAGGGCCTGTATATTTTGAGAAATGGCTTACTGAGACCAATGAGATTAAGTCTCTGATCTCTGGAGCACCAAGTCCAGTTTGGAAAAGACACAACGATTCCAATATGATGCAGTGATGATAATGACAGACATGTGTACAAGGTATGGTGGGAAAAGAGACAGGCACATTCAGCCTGAAGTGATGGGTGAGTGCTTTCACAAGGGGGTGGCATGTAAATTGGTTCTTAAAGAATGACTAGAAGTTACCCAGGCAAAGGTAGGGGAGAGAAGAGAGGACATTCTAAGCAAAGGGGCTCATCCCCTGGTTCTAGAGGACCAGTGAGAGAATATGTCAAGAAGAGAACTCAGATCGTACTTTTTTACACTCTCATTCCACCCTAAAGTGCCAAAACTAGCTTAATACTCAGTGTGAACAGACATTAGATGCTGGAACCAGGAAGACACAAGGGAGACACATTGCTCTGCACCTTTAAGAGGGTGACAGAAAAATTCGAAGATATGAAGCAGGCTGCAGGGACAGAGGAAGAACCACAAGAGGGCGCTGCCCCCCAGCGGGTGGTGTTTTCACACAAATTCATCTTCCACCTCCAAGCGCACCTCATTTTTACAGCCTGTGACATGATCTTGCAGAGAAGTTGACTTGCTTCACACAGGAGCCAAGATTTTCTAGAGGATCGACCAAAGGATCAAGAAAATAGAGGAACAGCCCTCTCAGCTTTGGTGTATTCCCAAACAAAACCTGCTGCTGTTTCTCCCCCAGCCATGCTGTCTGCCTCCTGCTCGGGACTTGTGATCTTGTTGATGTTGAGTAAGTAAAATTTACTCAAAATTTCTAAGGTGTTCTATTCCTTGGTTTTAGGATGACTTTTAATCCCTAACAAACTGGAGACTACCCTCTTACATTACCAATATAACAAAGCCTTTACTTTTTTTTTTTAGGAGGGACCAATGGAGACTCGGTGACCCAGACAGAAGGCCCTGTTATCCTGCCCGAGGGGGCACCTCTGACCCTGAACTGCACCTACCAGAGCAGCTATTCTTTTTCCCTTTTCTGGTATGTCCAGTATCAAAACAAAGAGCCTCAGCTCCTCCTGAAAAGCTCATCAGAAAACCAGGGGGCGGACAGCAGAGGTTTTCAGGCCACTCTTAATAGGAGTGACAGCTCCTTCCACCTGCAGAAAGCCTCAGTGCAGATGTCGGACTCGGCCGTGTACTACTGCGCTCTGAGAGACACAGTGAGGGGGATTCAGGGGGAGCTGAGCACAAACCCAGAGGGTGCAGGTGGGCCTGGCTGTGGCAGCCCTGGGAGGGGTGTTCCCTTCTCTCCAGTGTTCTGTTCTGGAGGCTTCCTCACAGTACTTCCAGCTCTGATGCCTCAGAGCCAAGGAGCCTTGGAATTCTTGGATGAGTCTGCAGAGAGGAATTAGGGGAGGGACAGTGTAAAGAGGAACCTAAACCCTGTTCTCCAGAAACGCCTCTGTTTTCAGTGCAGCCTCTTTCCCCAAGATGGTGTACAATTCCTGGGAAGTGACGTTAACTCTGCTCCATGACAGTTCAGTTGGTATGTACTAAAATATTTCACAACCTATTCATGAAAATTCTCAGGGCTTGTAGTTCATGGACTAATGTGTGACCTTGAAGCTCGTCCATTGCTTTTACAGTTCAGGCCAGGATCCTGTGTCTTGCTGAGTTTCACCTGCAGAAACTCCATCTCCAGTGACTGAAACCCTTATCCTCTCTTCCCTTGAATTTTCCTTCCCTAGCGGTCTTTCTAGAAACACTGCTGCCTGAGTAAGTTCTATGAGGAGAGCTTCCTGAGATTTTCCTTATGTCGAGGGCACTGGTTTCAGAACAGCCCAGTCAGTAACAGCTGCGTTCATTGCGTGTCTTGCTCGCACTGTGCTGACACACCTCCATGCTTCTTCCTGTCATCACAGCAGCTCTTTACTGTGACACTAAATAATGATCTGGATTCTGGACTTGAGGATCTGTGCTATGAGGAATTCTGGATTCTGGACATGAGAAGACTATGTAACTTAATATATTATTTTATCATTGCATTTATGCCTGTGATCCTTCTGAAGTGTGTCAAATTCAGTGGCCAAGAAAACACTCAGGTGTCTGTTTATAAGACAGAACGATATTCATGGACTCTTGTTCACTGGGACCCCAAATGGCTAAAATAATCTCAAGTTTCTCCACACCAGAGAAACACAAAGTAGAGAAATGTTCACCTTTCACTAACCCCTGAGGGGATGTAGCTCACTAAGAGAAACTTTTCTGGACATTCTGGAATTCTGTGAGCCTCGTTTGTCCTTTTTCCATCTTTCATGATGCTGTGGGATTGACAGGTGCAAACATGGGTTTTGCAGGGTCTGGTGCTTCTTCGATTTCTGAGGCTCTCTTTAAGAAAAAGAAAAGAAAATTACAAATACAAGTTTCTGGGACCCAGGATGATAAGAGGGCCTAAAATATAAGCCTGATTTGCTTTAAGGTAAATCTGACTCTGGGATCCCACAGAGATCATCGTCCTCCGTAAGACTGAAATACTAGGATAGTCTGCGTTTGTCCCGACCTCTCCACCCACCAGTCCTCCTTTATACTCTAGCACTAGATCTATTATTGCGTAGTTTGAGCTCTATTTTTTTTAAAAAGCAGCTTTATTGAGATTTGCATATCATAAACTTAATCCGCTTAAGTGTAAAATGCAGTGATTTTTAGTATGTTCAGAGTTGTGCAATCATCGCCAATATCTAATTCCAGATCACCACCCACAAAAACCCTGCACCCGTTAGGGTCACTCCCCTTCCCCTTTTCCCCCAGCTGCTGGCAACCACTAATCTACTTTCTGTCTCTATGGATTTGTCTATTCTGCACATTTCATATAAATAGAATCATGTAGTAAATGGCCTTCTGTGTCTGGTTTATTTCATATAGCATAATCTTTTCAGGGTATATCCATGTATCAGTACTTCACTGCTTTTCATGACCACATAATAGTGCATTGGATGAAAATCCCTTATTTTCTTTATCCATTCATCAGTTGATGGGCATTTTGGTTGTTTCCGCTTTGGGGCAATCATGAATAAAGCTGCTATGAGTGTTCATGTACAGGACATCTGTTATTTTAAACTCTAACATATTTTGAGTTAGAAGTTTCTGTTAGTTTTGTTTTGCTTTGTTTGGTACCAACATTTCTTTATGGATATAAAATGAGCTAATATATGAGAAAATACCCTTTAAAAATAATGATTTGTGTCAAAGTGAGATACTATTCCTCAAGCAAAAAGAGGAAGATTGGCAACAGATGTTAGCTAGGGGCAATCTTCCTCACCAATAAATAAATAAATAAATAAAACAAAAAAGGGCAACAAGAAAACCTATTAATCTTGTGTTGGTTTTATTGAGGTGGGAAAATTATCTAGCTATCTTCAAACCGAATAGGTGATTATATTGATGAATTATTAAGTCTTCAGAATCATTCATACATTTCTACACTCATTATCATGTAGAATGCTTTAACTTACTGTAATAAGAATGACATTGATTTTTCTCAAAAATAGTATCATTACTCAATGAGGTAGAATGAACTGTTTACCTTGGATTTCTTTCCATAATCATACTAATGACCACTTGCACAACAGAATAGATGTGAAACGTTCCTCAAACTATCTCTCTCTGGCTTCTCTCTTTTTGTGACGTCATTGTGGTTTTTTGCAAAGCATCTAAATGTGTTACTCTTACTTACAAGCTACCTACAGAGGGAGACGTTTAAAGGGGGAATTACCCTGACTTATCAAGTCTCTTGCCTTCCCTTTCCCCTCCAGCATCCAGGGCCAGGATAACAGCTGCCACAGCAACCAGTATCCATCTGGCCTTGAACAGCATCCATTTCCTGTCCAAACGTTTATGCTTTTTACAGATATTACAACAGTTGTTCAAGAACAAAGATTTTTATTTTTCGCTCCACACACATTTTTAAAACCTCTGAGTTAGTTGTCAACATTTAAAAATCAGACATCCCGTTGAAAACTGGATTTCTAGTTTCTCTATAAAAATTGGAAGATCTCAGAACACAAGATCCTCTGGGATAGAGGTCAAAAGTTTTGTGTGAATACATAATGACTTTGATGCAGCCTCATTTTATTTTTAAAATCTATGCAAATTTGCTGTTCACAATATAAATTAATCTAAAAGTAAAATTTTAAGTTAGTTATAATATGTAAGCTAATCCACAAGACAAACAAATCTGAATGAACAGCTCATTTAACTATGCCTATTTTCTCCCTGTGATATCATATACCAGGGGGAGTATCCTGGTCTGACAAACTCCAGTCTAGTTTATTCATTAATTCAAAAGATATGTAGTTTCTATGGTAAGCGTTGGGGAAACATTAGTTATCAAGACAGACGTGATCTCTGCCTTTATGGAGGTCATATTCCAGTGGGCTTTAGTGGTATCCAGTATAGAACAGCAGGCAGAAAGAGCATTACACTGCAACTTTAGAGTTTATTACACAAACAACCTGTATGACCTAAAGCTAGGTGTCACCTCCTCTGAATCTCTGTTTCTTCATCTGTAAAATGTACAGGTTTAATTAGGAAGTTGCTGTTGAATAGATCTTTCCAAAATTGTACTAGCTTCACAGAAGCACTCAGTCCACTGTCCTTTCTGAGTTTCTAACACTTACTAGGTACTCCCCTTTATTCAGGAAGGCACTTTTAGTTGTTATAGAAATTACCATGGTTCTCATACATTGCATGATAATGTCATGGTGATGACAAAGAGCCAGAGGGAGCAGCAGAGAGGTGAGTGACTTGGGAAGTCACCTACTTTCAACACACAGGAGCTACTGTTCTATGCAGCTGGGCAGGAGAGGGAAAGGGCGGGAGGAAAGGAAGAGAGAGGAGAGAACAGGTGCCAACTCATAAGTAAAATAGCTTTTATTTGAATTTGATGTTATAGTTTCTTTCACAAGATATTAGGCACACTTCCTCTCCTCAGCTTGGCAGAATCAGGAAATGTAGAAGATGTCCGTTTGGCAAGTGTGAGGTCTCACTGAACTTTGACCAGCTGGCTGGACCTCCAGAGGACGCAGCTGCTCCTGCGAAGTCCTAAGGCAGGTTGAGAGACAGATTTTCTAGTCACAGGGTCTCCAAACATCTCCGTAAAACGAAGACCATTCACCTGGCCCTAGAGAAACTAAGAACATTGTAACTGAGTGAGGTTCTTTCAAAGTCAGAGAGTTCCATCTACAGCGGGGTTGCAAATGCAAAGACTCATAGGTGCCAAGAACAGAATGAGAATGAGTGTGGTTGTCCAAGTGTTTAAAAAAGGGTAGAAGCCCTAATTAGCACTGGGCCTCAGGATCAGAGGGATGAAAGAAAGCGATGTAAAATACAGGCATCTCCCAAGACGAGTGGGAGTCCTGAAAGTTTATTCAAAGACTGAAGTTTGTCCCTGAGTCCCACCCGAGTCAGGCTGCAAGCTTATTAAATATGGGCAGGCTGATGCACAGAAGCTGTAATACAGGGAGCCTCTGCCTGGGGGGCTGTGGAGGTTAAGCTGTCACAGCTGACAGGACAGCTGAGGACTATCCCAGCCCCGGAATAAGGTGATGATTGCAGCCATCAGGCTCCAGCCCCTGCAGTGTCTCAATCCTTCTCCCTCTTCAGGTTTCTCTGAAATTAGTCACCCTCATACCCCGCACTGCAGAGCCTCTGATCTCACACAAGATATCTCTGCTGCAAAGTTGTTCCAGTATCCCCCGGGCTAGAATTTGACTTAAAACAAACAAAGCGAAGTAGTAAAAATTTAAAAATAAAAAAAGCATAAACAAAAAGCTACTGCTCACTCAATGAGCTGTCCAGTTTCCTGAATCACTTAGATTACACGACTTCTATTTTGGACTCAATCCCGTGTTTTTTTAAAGGAGGAATGATAATAGATATTAGGTCCCTGTTACATGTGATACAGATAAGCTCTGAATTCACCCCTTTTCCTGCTTCACTTGACTAGATGTAGCTGTTGCCTTCTGCCTGGCTCCTGGTGCCACCTGTCCACTACCTACATCCTCTGCTGTGTTTGCCCTCACGCCTGTCTCCTTCTGGACGATGGGACACACGCTCAACAGCTTAGTGCCCCTCACAATGTCATCTCTAAAAACCCTTCCACTGGATTTCATAACTAAAGTTTCCTTTTCTTTGAAAAGAATAAAACTGCCCATCAGAGTCAGATGTCCTTGGGAGGGAACAGTATGATGCGAAATATGTACTCTCCTCGGAAGTAGGTGGAATTCCTATGCTTCACACCATCACTGATCCGTAATTTCTGGTCTTCTTCAGCATTTCCAGAGAGAACCAGGATTAGCTGGGCCTGAAATAGTAAATCAATGAATTGAGCTCCCTACAGAAGTGAAAATTGTCTTTGTTTCTTATTTACTAGATTTAAAAAGATACCGCCCTCTACAACCAATCATCAATTTACAGAAAGTACAAACGACAGAGGAACACATTAAACTGATCCAAAGTATACAATGCGCAAAATCCATAGCATGGGAAAGCTCTACAGGAAAAACTTGGTTTTTTCAAAATAAACTACAAAGAATAAGATGGAGTAAACTAAAAGAGGCCTAAAAACATATCACCCAATTACAATGTTTGGTCCTTAGGTGGATTCTGAATGAAACAAACTAAACTAATTGGCATTTGAACACAGGTTGGCTACTTGATTGTATTAAAGAATTATTGTTAATTTTAAGTGCCATTATGACACTGTGGCTGTGTTTTAAAAAATCAGAATTTAGAGATATATGCTAAAATAGTCAAGGGCAAAATAACATGATGTCTGGGATTCTTTTTTAAAACATAGAGTGAGGAAATGCAAGTGGTGGTATAAATGAAAGAAGATTGGCCATGAACTGATAATTGATGAAACTGAGTGAGGAGTACGTGAGGCTTCATTGTTACATAGAGTTTTCATTTTGTATTTTTTTTTTGAGTAAATTTAGTGCTGAGCTCACATCCGTGTCCATCTTCCTCTATTTTATATGTGGGATGCCTGCCACAGCATGGCTTGACAAGTGGTGCACAGGTCCGCACCTGGGAACCGAACCAGCGAACCCCAGGCTACTGAAGTGGAACATGCGAGCTTAACCACTGTGCCACCAGGCCGGCCCCCATAGTGTATACTTTTCTATACATTTGAAGCTATCCTTAACAAGACTAAAAGTTGAAATTGACTAGATTCAAATCCTGTCATCTCCACTGCAGCATGACTTTTGATGTATGCTTTAACATATCTGTGCTTCAGTTTCTTCATGTTTAAAATGGTGATAATAGAGCTTACCTCATGGATTTGAGTTGGGAATTGAACGAAACCATGTGTATATATTTATCACATTAAATTGGGGCCAGCCTGGTGGCACAGTGGTTGAGTTCGCGTGCTCTGCTTCAGCAGCCCAGGGTTCGTGGGTTCGGATCTGGGACATGGACCTACCTACCACTCATCAAGCCATGCTGTGGTGGTGTCCCACATACAAAGTGGAGGAGGATTAGCACAGATGTTAGCTCAAGCCAATCTGCCTCATAAAAGGAAAAACAAATTATATATAAACACACACACACGTATGTATATATATGTAATAAAATTTTAGTACGGGTACATAGCATGGAATCTTGACGTAGTAAGTACATTCACGATGACGGTTATTAATATAAAGGGCAGGGCTGCTTCTAGAGCCTACATCAAGTTTTCAATCATGTGCTCTTTTTATAACACCAAGCTGCTCCTTGACATGTTTTTCAAGAAGAGAACCAAAGGTCTGAAAAGGCAGGGATTTCTTGACATTGCTTGAAAAGTCACCCCAAAAAGGAGTCTGGATGCTCTCTGATAAATACCCACCTCACAGCTGCTCTTCCACCACACCCACCCTCCTGACAAGCCCACATCCTGACAGAGAAGCAGCAGACGACTGATGTTTAATGGAAAAATGCTGTTCTCAGGGGCAGGCAGGGCCACTTTAATTCCCCTGGCTAGATCATTTAAGGTTTATTTCCTCATGTTTGCTGACAGGCGAAAGAAGAAATGCTCTAGGACATGGCCAGTATTCACACCAGGCTTCAAAGTGATTTGGTTTCAGCCTTGCACACTGTTGAAATAAATATCCATCAAAGTTCCACATGTCAAGATAAAAGCTAACAAACAAATGGCATTTCCAACCCCACCCCCCCAACCCCGGAGCAAATACACAACTAATAGAT